ATTACTGGTTATTTTTCACAGTTTTTAGACTGTAAACATCAATAATATGAACGAAAATTCTAAATAAATCCTTATTTATGTGCATTACTGGTTATTTTTCACAGTTTTTAGACTGTAAACATCAATAATATGAACGAAAATTCTAAATAAATCCTTATTTATGTGCATTACTGGTTATTTTTCACAGTTTTTAGACTGTAAACATCAATAATATGAACGAAAATTCTAAATAAATCCTTATTTATGTGCATTACTGGTTATTTTTCACAGTTTTTAGACTATAAACATCAATAATATGAACGAAAATTCTAAATAAATCCTTATTTATGTGTATTACTGGTTATTTTTCAGTTTTTAAACTGTAAACATCAATAATATGAACGAAAATTCTAAATAAATCCTTATTTATGTGTATTACTGGTTATTTTTCACAGTTTTTAAACTGTAAACATCAATAATATGAACGAAAATTCTAAATAAATCCTTATTTATGTGCATTACTGGTTATTTTTCACAGTTTTTAGACTGTAAACATCAATAATATGAACGAAAATTCTAAATAAATCCTTATTTATGTGCATTACTGGTTATTTTTCACAGTTTTTAGACTATAAACATCAATAATATGAACGAAAATTCTAAATAAATCCTTATTTATGTGCATTACTGGTTATTTTTCACAGTTTTTAAACTGTAAACATCAATAATATGAACGAAAATTCTAAATAAATCCTTATTTATGTGCATTACTGGTTATTTTTCACAATTTTTAGACTGTAAACATCAATAATATGAACGAAAATTCTAAATAAATCCTTATTTATGTGCATTACTGGTTATTTTTCACAGTTTTTAGACTGTAAACATCAATAATATGAACGAAAATTCTAAATAAATCCTTATTTATGTGCATTACTGGTTATTTTTCACAGTTTTTAGACTATAAACATCAATAATATGAACGAAAATTCTAAATAAATCCTTATTTATGTGCATTACTGGTTATTTTTCACAGTTTTTAGACTGTAAACATCAATAATATGAACGAAAATTCTAAATAAATCCTTATTTATGTGCATTACTGGTTATTTTTCACAGTTTTTAGACTGTAAACATCAATAATATGAACGAAAATTCTAAATAAATCCTTATTTATGTGCATTACTGGTTATTTTTCACAGTTTTTAAACTGTAAACATCAATAATATGAACGAAAATTCACTCACTCACTCACTCACCACTCACTCACACCACTCACTCACTCACTCAGTCACTCACTCACTCACTCTTCCGCCACCCCACTGTACGAAAGTCTTCCGGTTAAGTATGGTTGCAAAGCTGAAACTTAAAGGAATTGACGGAAGGGCACCACCAGGAGTGGAGTCTGCGGCTTAATTTGACTCAACACGGGGAAACTCACCCGGCCCGGACACCGTGAGGATTGACAGATTGATAGCTTTTTCATGATTCAGTGGATAGGGGTGCATGGCCGTCCTGCTCAGGAATAGTTCACCATCTTTCGGGTCTCACCGCGTACGCTCTTCCGCCACCCCACTGTAAACAGTTAGAATGGGGCCATGCTGCACTTTTTTACAAAACCTGATTAAGTACCCCAAAAATTTAGAAAAAAAACCTGCCAACAACTCGAAAGCATCGGTCGTTTAAATAAAAAATCAGAATTTGCCAATATCAATTGAGGGCCATCAACTCATCCACTTCATCATATCATAGACACTAGTAGAATGGTAGAGCATTATCATTTTAGAAAAAAAATTTTAAATCTCTAAAAAACAAGAAAAACTAGAAGAAAATTAAGGAACAAAAAAGAAATAAAAACTAAAATTTGAAAAAATAAAACAAAAAACCGTCAAGTTCCTTTCTATATCTTCTATATTATCTATAAAATAAATATACATTATGCCAAAATTGTAAAAATTTAATTCAAAGGTCCCAACAAATTAAAATTTCAAAATGTCTAGAAGAGGAATAACAACAGTTTTGGAAAAATGTTAAATTTATTTTTAGGAAATACGAAGTCAATAACGTCTATGGGCTGCGAATATTCCATCAAACTTTTTAATTATTCTTGCAAACATGTAGAGAAGGGCATTTTCTCGTACAAGAACACAACTTTATATAAAATGTTCCCTTAAGACATGAACGTTTTTATAACCTAATTTGAGAATTAATCCTGTCTATATTTACATTGATTTTGTAATTAAGAAGGTAATGCCCTTTTCTATATTCCGAAAACTTAAATTGATTACCCCAATAAGTACCCAATAAATTTAGAATATTGATCGCACGTTACCAGAGCCAAATCGTTGCATTACCAGAAATATCAGGGACGGGTCGTTTGAAAAAATTCAGATTTGTAAGGTGTTCTTAGAAAGCCTTCGCTCACCACGCATAAAAAAAGCCTTCACTCAGAAATAGCTTTCGCTCACCATGCATTCAGGCTGGGGTTAGCTGTACCGCATCAATCTGAGCTACTGAGCTTTTGGTAATTTTTGCAACATTTTTTTTAAATTTCTATTCAGACAATCTCCATCACCTTTGATTGTAAAGTCCACAAGTTTCCTTCAAAATCCTCCCCTCCTCTAAAATCAAAGCCATGAAGTCCGATCCTTTCCACTTTGACAGGGTAAAGTAGAAACACCAGACAAAATTTGATTAATTTCCATTACAAGCTTAAATATCGTCAAATTCTTTTTTGAAGCATCACTTAAACTAATTTTTTAAATTATTAATTCTCCAAGAATATTTATTTAATTTCCAATCTGTACCTAAAAATAGAGAACGGATCGATACTATATACCGTATTTTCTCGATTAATTCCCCTCCCTCAAATAATTCCCAAGGAAGGGTTAAAAAATAATTCCCCATAGGAATTAATCAAGAAAATACGGTATCGATGTCGATATTATACCGCGAGCCCAGTATACCGCCGAGCTATAACTGTTCAAAATTGTCGGATCCGGGAGGCCCTGGTATGGTTCGATTCAGCTCGTCAAGGCGCATCGAACCATACCAGGGCGTCCCGGATTCGACTATTTTGAACGAAGTTATAGCTCGGCGGTATACTGGGCTCGCGGTATAATGGCCTGCTCCCAAAAACCGTTTCTGTCTTCTTATTAGAAATTTGTCCCCTTCAATATTTTTCTTTAAAAAAGATTGGATTGAAAAACTTGTTGGAGAGAGGGAGAGAGAAAAATCGAAACAATAAAAAAGAAAGGAAAACTTAAAACTTTCCAAATAGTTAGAGAAATTGTAAAAAAAGAAAGTAGAGAGTGTGTGGGGGAAATGCGCAAAACACAAAACATTTTTATCATTTCAATTCGGGAAATTCTATCTTTTTCTTCTTTTATTTTATAAAAATATTTTTTTTAATGTTTCTTATTCGTTCAATTCTCTCATATTTTTTTTTGTTTCTATAAGGCCTCCTGCACCAACCAATGCATTTTTCTGTTTGAAAGAATTATTAAATTTAATATATTTTTAGTTTATGATAGGGCATTAATTTTTTAATTTTTGTAAATTTTTCAAATCTAAAATCATGAATAACAAAAAATTTGACCATCCTAGTCCTTAGTTCTATTAGTCTCCAAAAATTTTTTTGTTAAAGTCGAACCCCTCTATTTTATGTACGCCTCAGAAACACCCAATTTTAATTAATTATTTCATCCTTTATAGATGTCGATCGGAAATGAAGAAGGTCCCGGAAATTGGAACTGTCGGAAGTCGGAAATCAGCCTAAATTTTCGGAAGTCAGAAATCGAAAGGAAAAAAACGTCGGAAATCGGAATTCCGATCGACCTCCGATCCTTAAAGACGTACATAAAATAGAGATGTGACTGGAGCTGGTAATGGGCATGGATTTTGGCATCCGTGTTTGGGTATTTACGGCGTATACAGGCGGATATCCGCAGGCATTTTGAATTTATTTGAATCATTTTGAATCTCTATCCATATCCATTACCAAGCCTGGATGTGTCCATTACCAAGCCTTCCCCTCTTCAGTCACTCTAATAAATTATTCTTTCAGTTCGGAATTTTTAAACTTTGAAAAGAGGGAAAGGAGGAGAACACAGGCAACAGCGATAGCAATTAAAAATTTAATAGATTTTTTTGTAATGTGAGCGGAAAGGGACAAAAAATAGATGAAAATGGCCGATTAAATTTAAAATAAGAAAAATTTTTTAAAACAAATTTTTGAAGAAAAATAACAAAAATAATAATATTTGCGAACGCCCAAATCGGCGCGCGGCCATAACGGCGCAAAGCGATAACTTGCTTCAAAATCTCCGGATCTTAACAAATTTAGTATCAAACGATTCCTCTCATCGAGTTAAAGAGATTGGTACCAAAATTGACAAGGGCCAGAAATTTTCCAGCAAGTCATAGCTTTGCGCCGTTATGGGCGCGCGCCGTTTTGGGCTGTACCCATAATACTCTCCACACACTTTTCCCCCTCTTTTTAATCGTTTTTAATTTAGGAAATGAGAGATTTTTAGTTTTAAAATTTTTAAAATTCCCCCAAAAAATTCAATTTCTCCCAAATGAATACTTCCGAACCCTTAAATCCAGCAAATTTATCAGAAGAAATAAATGAACTTAAAAGAATATTAGACGAATTAAAATTAAATACAAACGACAACAACGATGCTTTTTTTAGTTGTGCTATGGCGCTTATAATATTTTGTGAGTGAAAATGGGAAAATGTTAATTAAAAAAGGAATTACAAATGTGGAAGAAAAAATTTTTGGAAAACTTAAAAATAAATACAGTCGGACTTGCATTGTGAATACACCCTTAGGGCCCAAATATTGTCCGTGTTAGGCAGCTCTCCCTCTCCACAACCCACTAAAGGCTACCGGGAACGGAATGGAATAAAAATATTTGACATGATTCCCAAGGAGCTTCCATGGCAAGCTCTACCAATCTTCTCTACTTAATGAGTAGAGGATGTCGCTTAGATAGCCTCAACCACCCGCTAAAACTTCGCCGAAACTGGGTCGAAATTGGAAACCAAAGCTTTGACTGGAACTTTCCAGGAAAGCTCTACTTCCCCAAACCTTTCCCCCCATTCAGTGACTAACCGAATTTTAAATTGAAATTTATTGGCATAAAAGTTTTTCCTAAAATCTTTAAGTAATGCAATGTGGATTCGCTTTTCTCGAAGCAGGAGCCGTTAGAAGTAAAAATTGTACAAATATTCTAATTAAAAATGTTTTGGATTCGCGTATGTTTACACTGAAATGATTTTAAAAAAATTTAAAATATTTTTAAAGTTCTCGGAATTCTTGGTTATTGGGCAATTGGATGGGCTTTGGCCTATGGACCTAATTCAAACAATTTTCTTGACCATTTTTTCGGATTTAGCCAATTCTTTGTTATTGGTCTACAAAATTATGCAAAATTCTTTTTTCAATTTGTTTTTGCTGCTACAGCTGCTGTAAATCCTTTAAAAAAAATTTTCCAAAATTTTAAAAATTTATTTTTAAGACAATAATTTCTGGGGCGGTTGCGGAAAGGGCAGAATTTGCTTGTTTTTTAACCTACTCACTTTTAATTACTTGTAAATTAATTTTAAAAATTAAAAAAAAAAAGAAAATCTAGCATTTTGTTACCCTATACTAACACATTGGGGATGGACTCCAAATGGATGGATGGCTAGAGGGTTTGACCCAAGCCTTGGACTTGAACAACATTTATTCGAAAATAATACATTAAACAACAATAGTAGTGAAACAAACATTACAACAATTACAAACACAACAACAACATTCAGAACAACTTATGTTGATTTTGCTGGGTCTGGAATGGTAATAGTATATAGAAATCAGAATAAAAACAAAACATAAACAAAACAAATAAAAATCAGAATAAAAGAAGAAAAAAACATAAATCAGAATATTAGACGAACAAAAACAGAATATTAAAACAAATCAGAATTAAAAACAAAACAAATAAAAATCAGAATAAAACATTAAACAAACAGAAAAACATACTAAAATAAATCAGAATTAAAACAAAACGTTGTTAGAGAACAAAAATGAACAACAAAAACAGAATAACATAAAAACTAATCAGAATAATAAATCAGAATTAATATCAAACAAGCGTTTAAACGACGAATTATGTGGCAAATTTACCAGGTACATCTCTGTGGTGGAACAATTTCTTTAATAGCAGCATTGCTTATCGGCCCAAGAATTGGACGTTTTCCTGAGAAGGAAGCTAGGCAGAAAAATAAAGTTAAAAAAGGAAAACAACAACGAATCACACCTCTGAGGAATGTCGGGACAGAAGGAAAATTACCAAAAATTGCGGAAATTAAGGGGCATTCAGTACCTGTAAGTTGTTGTTCTCCTTTTCCTTTTCTAAATTTTCCCCTTTCCTCCCCCCCTTCAAGTTTGCCTCTCTTGGAGGATTTATTCTAATGTTTGGATTTCTTGCTTTCAATGGAGGATCAACAGGAGAAATTTCAACTAAAGGTGTTGGACAAATAGTAGCCAAAGTTATGGTTAATACTATTTTGTGTGGGGCTTTTGCTGCTTTGTCTTATTTGTTTGTTCATTTTATCAGAAAAGGAAAGTGGACAATTTTGTTGACAATTAATGCGTGTTTAACTGGTATGTTTTTAATAAATTCTGATTTTGTTGTTGTTTTGAACAAAAATAAAATCAGAATAAAATTAAAACATACTCAAAACAAAACATAGGAGAATAGAAGAAAAACAAAACCAGAATTTAAAATAAAATTAGAATATTTGAAAACAAAACACTAGTTCAAAACCAGAATAAAATCAAAACATTTGTTTTGCTTAGATAAAAACACACCAGAATTAAAAAGTAAGAAAAACAAAACCAGAATAAAGAAAGAAAACAATATCAGAAAAAACATGAGAACATAACCAGAATATTTACAGAAAAACACATACAAAACCAGAATAAAATTTGAACATTTAATTATTCTTTCATTATTAAGGAATGGTTAGCGCCTGTGCTGGTTGTAATATAATGTTTGTTTGTTAACAAAAACAATTAATTGTTCTGTTTTTAGGCCTGTTTGGACATCAGCAATAACCGGATCTATTGCAGGAATGGCCTACTTAGCATTTTCAGAGCTTTGTTTAATTATGCGAATAGATGACCCTCTCGATGCTTTTGCTGTTCATTTTGGGGGTGGATTGTGGGGGTTAATTAGTGCTTGTTTGGTTACTGAAAAGGGGCTTCTTTTCTCTTTAATTGACCCCGAAAAAGTTAAATTTGATGAAGCACTCTGGCAACTTTGTTGGCAAAGTGTTTGTGCTGTAGCAATAATTGTTTGGTCAGCACTTGTATTAACTCCAGCTTTTCTAATTTTAAAAGCATTTGGAAAAATGAGGGTGCCCAGAGAAGTAGAAATACGTGGATTGGATATTTATAAACATGGGGAGGCAGCATATCCTTTGACTGCTTATGGACATGGATGGGGGGATGGCGCTGAATTTGTTATTACTCCATTACAGGATGTTGGGGGTGATGCTGTAAATGGTAAAAATAAATATAGAGGGAACAATCAGGGCCGTGCGCCATGGCATTTGGCGTTTAGCGTGATTTAAAAATTTGAAAAAATGGCGTTTGACGCGACACGCAAAAATTTTGGCGCACAGCCTTGAAAACAATTATTTGTTTTGATGTTTTGTTTGTTTTGATGTTTAGTTTGTTCTGATGTTTTGTTTGTTTTTGAGATGTTTAGTTTGTTTTGATGTTTTGTTTGTTTTGATGTTTAGTTTGTTCTGATGTTTTGTTTGTTTTTGAGATGTTTAGTTTGTTTTGATGTTTTGCTTGTTTTTCTAGTAACAACAATGATGAGACCAACGAGAGAGGGGGGAATACAACAATACCCACACCAACAATTTGAACATCCCGAACATTTTGTGCATAGAAGGGTATGTTTAGTTTATGAATGTTTTAGATTAAATAATGAAAATATTAAGCAAAAACAAACAAGCGCAACACCATAAAATTACAAGGAATTAAAGAATATAAATTAGAAACATTTGTCTAAACTCTGCATTTTTTTAAACAATTATTTGCTCAAATAAACTCAACAATAACTTTAAATTTGTAAAAATATATTAAAATTAAAAATGTTTTATGAATTAAACTAGTAAATAATTTTTTATTTATTTCTCAATTTGTTTTGTAATGTTTTTGTAATCTTGTTGGTTAAATAGCTCGGACCCTCACAAACCCCTAAGCGGTCTGGGACCATACATTAGTATATTACTGGTAAAAACCCAAACTCCAACCTTGAAAAACAAATAAAATTCAATATCCAACTTTATGGGAAGATTAGGGGGTAATAGAATAAAATGAACAAATTCTCGAGGGAAATAAGAGCAGACTTGCCATTCACTTTACCCAGCAATTTAGGGCATTTTTGCTTATATACAATGAATAAAAGATTAGTTTAGAATGGAAAACAAAGCTTTATTTTCTTTATGTTGGCTAGTAAATTTGGCCGTAATTTTTTAATTCATTAAATTTTTTGAGATTGTGGAGGTCCTTTTGCATTAAACAAAAATTTTTTTAAATATTTTCAAGCGAATATTCAAGATGCCCACCTATTTCTATTTTTTATTGACGCTTCTTAAGTCAATAAATTTGTCATTTGGGGATGCTGATAGATCACATGAATTAGAACCTGATAATATTAATTGCCCAGTAACTACATTTCCGAGACCCCCATTTTGTAGAAAACCCTGTAGCCATCAAGAACAATGCCGAAGAGGGAATAAACTTTGTCTTTGCGATGGCGAGTGTGGACTTAGCTGTATTTCAAAATGTTTGTATGTTAAAATTTTTGATAGAGTAGGACTTTTTTGTGAGTGCACCTCAATTTAGGGTACATTTTAAAATATTAGATTAAACTCTGAATGTGAGCTGGGTCGGGACAGTCAGAGGTATCGGAAATCGGAAGAGCGGAAATTGGAACTAACTCAAAAGTCGGAACTCGGAAATCAAAATTTTTTTCGGAAATCGGAATTCCGACCCACCTCTGCTCTGGATGTGAGGAGCTACATACTCTGGATCGGAGGATACTTCTATTTAATAATCACCTAATTATAAGATACCGGGGCTGAACATCATAAAGTTTTTGGCTTTTGAAAAATTGATGGCACAGCCTTGTGATTTAAATCCTTTCAGCTCCAAATTGTGAGGTCCCTCTTTATCTCTAAATTTATAGCAATTAATTGCCACCCGCTTGTTGATCTTCCAAATGGATATATTCAGACACCAACAGGATTCCTTTTTAACTCTATTGCCGAATATGGATGTGATTTGGTTTCTCCTCAAAGAATTTCTCCTTATTCAATTATTTTTAGGGTTATATTTTAATTGGCCCGTCACAACGTAGATGTCAAGGAAATAAAGAATGGTCAGGTTCTCGACCTGTTTGTCGACCCCTTTGTATAATTACTTCTGAGAAAAAATATTTTAAAATAAATTTTTAGTAAAGTGTGGTCCTCCACCAGAAATCCCCTATTCAATTTACAAGCTTTCTCCAACCTCCTCTATTAACGAAGAAAATGAATTGGACTCGGAAGCTCATTATAGTTGCATTTCTGGATATAGGTAGGTAGATAAATGATAGAGATCGGACTGAGAGTCGATCACGATTGAAAGGTCGGCGGATAGTTGGAACTCTTCAAATATACGGATCCGATATCCAAACCGAAAATTTCCGGATATCCGGATCAGGGGCGGGCGCGAGAGACTCAATGCGGCCGCCCCTGATCCGGATCCAAAAACCTTATTCGATATCCGAGTTTTTTTTGTTCGAGATCTCGTCCTGATTCGGTCTCTAATACATGACAAAAAACATTTGTATTTTTCCAAGGGATACAAGCCAAACAAAAAATAAAATTAAATGTTCATTAAATAATAAAGGAATTGCTTTTTGGGAAGAACCAAAAATTGTTTGCAAAGGTTGTCATCTTTACTAGGGATAAACCCTCTCTAAATTAATTTTCAGCCCAAGAATGCCAGGATCCTGGAATTCCTCTAAATGGATTCCGTTCAGGCGATAATCTTCAATTTCCACATACAATCGAGTTTTCCTGTGCTCCCGGATTTAATTTAATTGGATCGGCACAGAGAATGTGTACAAGTGTTGGGGAATGGAGCGGTTATTTTTATACAGTATTTAGTGAACAATAAAATTTATTTTTAGGGGAACAACCATTATGCAAGCGTAAGAAAATTTTTAATTTAACCTTACTATAGTCAAACGTCATTATATGATACTCCTTTGGGGCTGAAGAGATTGTAAATTCAATCTTATAGTCTGACATGTTTAACTCGATTAGATATACCTCGAATAACCAGTGGTGGGCAGGTCTGAGTAAAGAACCTTAATTAGTTTTTTGGGACAAACTTCTAGATGCCTCATTCACCAAAAATTATTCCTTTTTGACTCGATTGGATATACCTCGAATAACCAGTGGTGAGCAGGTCCGAATAAAGGGACGAATCTCTTTTGGGCATACCTCTAGTATGTATTGCCTCACTCAAAAATTATTCTATTTTAATCGGAACCAAAACATCACGGAACTTCCGGCCTACCAGAACTGGAACTTGCGACGAAACGCTTATGCAGTGTTTCGAAAAACTGTCCTTATTCGAACTAAAAAATCAAAAAACTCCCAAAACTATATACAAGAAAAACATTGCTGGAAAAAGCAGCAATTATTAAGCCACCCTTTAAATTTAGCTATTGAATGTCCACGGCCTACCGATCCTCTACATGGTGCCGTTATTGGATCTTCTTTAAGTTTTCAATCTGTAGTTACTTACTCCTGCAATGATGGTTATAGACTTGTCGGGCAGGCAAGTTAAGTAATTCTAAGAAAATACTCCGACATTCTCTTAAGGTCCAAAGAATTTGTTTAGCGGAGGGGGTATGGGCAGGACAGAATCCTTATTGTGAAGAGATCAAATGCCCCCCATTGCCGATAATTTGGAATGGTTATGTTGAGGGAGATGATACTAGTTATGGATCTATTGTGGTCTTTCGATGTTTTGAAGGGGTTTGGGTATTTCTTAAACTGGGTACAGCCCGTTTAGGCGCGGGCCGGTTAGGCGCGACCGGTTAGGCGCGACCGATTAGGCGCCGGCCGGTTAGGCGCGCGGCCGGTTAGGCGCCGGCCGGTTAGGCGCCAAGCCTTTTATTTAAATATTCGATTATAATCAATCAGAAGGTCCCATCGACCATCAAATGGGACAATTCTGAATTATAAAACAAAAATTTTACAAAAAAATTTAACAAAATTAAAAAACAGGCCTAACTAGTTTACGTACGAGACTCAAAATCAGCTCGATTGGATGATTTTTGACAAAGTTATGACCAACAGAATCTTCGCTGGAAAAACTGTTTTTGTGCTGCTACGGAGGGTAGGCCGGGCATGGTCTTCGCTACACGATGGCCGTGCTTCGCTGCGGTCGTGCTCGCTTCGCTCGCGGCGACCGTAGCGAAGCGGCGGCCGTCGTTCCGCTCGACATGCCCGGCTTCCTCCGCAGCGGCAAAAACTTTTTTCCGCGAAAGCCTCATGTGAGGGTGGTGCATCTGTCCGGGATTATCAGATTTATCTATTTTCAGGATTTGGAGTAGCATTTCGTTCAATATTTAATTAAAAGGCTTGGCGCCTAACCGGCCGGCGCCTAACCGGCCGCGCGCCTAACCGGCCGGCGCCTAACCGGTCGCGCCTAACCGGTCGCGCCTAACCGGCCCGCGCCTAAACGGGCGTGTCCCTCTTAAACTATATAGACATCAGTTTTAGATGAGCCACATTGGCGCTCCCTTTGCCAAATGTGAAGAAAATGGGAAATGGAGTTCGAACGTTCCCAAATGTTTGGGTAATTCTCAAATGATTTTTAATTTAATTTTACAATTAAGCAAATTGCAAGGTTCCAAAAATTAGAAATGGTCGATTGGGTCAGTTCTCTGATGGGGAATTAATTCCACATGGAAAAAAGGTTAAAATTGAGGTTTGGCACCAGTGCTGGGTATTTGCCATTTGTTGGCTCCGGCTCCGGGCTTTCAAAATCTTGGCTCCGGCTCCGGGCTATCACTCTCTCATTATCATTTGCTTTTTAAACGGAGCAGGCGGAAATTTTTCTCCGGAGCTAGCTAGCTCCCGGAGCACTGGTTGGCACGGTGACTGAGTTAATGGTACATATAGGGCCAATTGAAAGAGAAACTGAAAGAAGATAGATCAGTGAGCAGTACGTGATGAGCGAAAGTACTTAGAACTAATTATCAAGAGGTCGACCTGTACTAACCCTTTATTTCTCCCGTTACTCTGCATTACGATTACCGAGAAATAACGATTACCGGCCTAATATAGAACAATTGTCTATAAATTAAAATAATAAAATTTTCGGTTCAAATCCTTTGCGATCCAAAACACGACACAAAAAATCGGCCAATGGTTAATTGTCTTAATGGAACCTGGTCACATGTACCTCAATGCACTCCAAGTATTTTTAAATTAAAAAATAATTTAACGAAAAATTAGTTCGCTGCCAAAAATGGCCAGCGAAAATGCCCAATTCTCAATTAGTTTTTACAAAATCAACACATGGTGCAGGTGTTTCTAGTTGATAAAAATTTGTTTTACTGAAAATTTAGTTGCAAAATATCATTGTTTGCATGGATTTCGACCTTCTTCGCCCAACAATTTAATTAAATGTCTTTATGGAAAGTAATGAAATTTAATTTGCTAAACTATAATTAACTAAGAATTAGGGTTAGGGGACCGGTCCGGTCCGAAAGATCGAGTCGGGCATCGAATTCTGGCCCGAAAAAGACTCGGTCGGGCCGGCCCGATAAAAATCAAGCCCGAAAAAATGGCTCGAACGTCGGCCCAACTCGAAAACCCCAGCCCTACTAGGGATTTTAAATTTAGACGAATTAGGTATATGTCATTTGAAAGAGAGCTTGTTGAGTTAACAAGGGAATATCGTTTATCTTGCGCCCTTTGATAGAGGACCCCTGACTTCCTATTTGAAGTGACCTTTTTTACAAAATAAGTTTATGCTGGTTAAAGTTGGACTGCTATAGTTTGGAGTGAGGTAGCAACCCGACCTTCGGGGTCAGGTATGTCGGGGATCGGGGTTTGCAGGGGAAGGCATGCCGGGGTTCGGGGGTCAGGTTGCTACCCTAGTTTGGAGTTAAAGAGTAATTGAGCAATTTCTCTTCTTTTTTCTTTAAATATAAAGTGGACGATGTTCCCTTTTAATTTAAAAATACGTTGGTAAATAATAATTTAATAATAATACCTCCTAAATAATACGTTGGTGTGCGCTGTGTTTAAGCCTCATTTTTGTTTTAGGTGGATTAGAGATGGCCCGCCATTTCGATGTCTTGCAAGTAAATAATATTTAATTTCTACATATTTTTACATAGAAAATTCAGTGTCTTGTGACCACCCAACAAAAGTTTTTGACAATTTGGAGGGTGGACGTATTTTTCTTGAGGGGCAGATGGGGGGTTAGTTAATTAAGTTGCTGAAATTTGTAAAAAAGACTTTTTAGCTTATGATTATTCTGATTATATTAATCGGTAATTTTTTTAATTTTCTAAATTTTCGATTTTTTTATTCAGCGTTCCTGAAGGTCGTTCAATCTCGTTTCAATGTGAAAAAGGAAACCTTTTAATTGGTTATTTTATTCAAAATTAATTTTTGGGAGACAAAATATGTAGATAACGGGGTGTATCTAAATAATAAACAGACTTAAAAACAGACGGAAATTGGAAAGCGAAACACATTCATCTATTAATATGTACAGCAGGGATGTCACGGGTTGAGAAAAATGTCGGGTCGGGTTTCCAAAATTTTTCTCGGATCGGGTTTCGGGTTTCGGGTTGAGCAAAAAGTCGGGTCGGGTTTCGGATCGGGTTTTCAAAATTTTCTTCGGATCGGGTTTCGGGTTTCGGGTCGAAAAAAAGCCAAAATTTTGAGAATTTTGGAAGGCCAAAAAGCCAAAAATCTTCCCTCCTCAGCGCCGCAGGCGAAAATTTTGAGAATTCTTGAAGGTCCGAAGCCAGATTTCTTCCTTTTTCAGCGCCGCAGGCGAAAATTTTCAGAATTTTGGAAGATCATTAAGCTAAAAATCTTCCCTTTTTCTGCGACGCGGGCGAAAATTTTGAGAAAACTCGGGTCGGGTTTCGGGTCGGGTTTTGAAAAATAAAAATTCTCGGGTCGGGTTTCGGGTCGGGTTTTAGAAAATTTCTCGGATCGGGTTTCGGGTATCGGGTCGAAAAAAAGGCCGGGTTTCGGGTTTCGGGTAACCCGTGACATCCCTGATGTACAGTCAACCTAGATTCCACTATTAGAGATACTCCCACTATTAGAGATCGACCGAGATCTCGGTTATCGAGATTCTCGTACGCACTTCAATCCACTATATACATTTCAATTTTGTAAGGGTATGGAGAGAGGGAGAAGGGGATGCCGCTGATTAAGGAGAGTGGAGACCTAAGCAATACCTCCACTTTTAGTGTACGATTTTTTAACGCTATAACAGGGTTCGGCAGTATTACTTAATTTTTTTAGGCCCTCCAAAGGCAACCTGTCAATATGGAAAGGTAACCACCAATTTTTCAAACCAAAAAAGTTTTTTTTGTTTTTTAAAGTGGCGTCCAGATATAAAACCAAAATGTGTATTCCAAAGACATCCAACAATTGAGGGACAAATTTTGTGGAGTAGAGTTAAACGCTCATTTAATTTAACTGTTGGGGAAGAAAGGATTGAAAAATGTCAACTCCCAACAGAAGAAAAATTGAAAAAGAATGGGTGGAAGTTGATAATTAAGGAAAGTAAAGAATTAATTGTTGGTGGGTGTTAATTTAAAATTTAAATTTTTTAATTGTTTTTTAGTTTGTAAGGCAGGGTTTGAAGTGTTTAATGAGTTAAAGTCGAGTACTCCTTTGGAACAAATCAGTCATTGTGTTAATGGGCAGTGGACACCTAAATTAATTGAATGCAAACCAAGTAAACTTTGGATTTTGTGGAGGTTGGGTGTGCTGAAAATTTTTTTTTTGTTTTTAGTAAAAAAAGGGTTGGGCGGGATCGGAATCCCGATCGGGCGGGATATCCCGGTTTTTTTAATCCCGATTTTGGCCAATCCCGATCCCACAATCGGGATCATTATTCTAAAATCCCGATTCCGATTTTATGTCAAAATCCCGATACCGCCCAACTCTAGTATAAAATAAGGGACAAAAATGCTCAATTAGGCATTACTAAGGGATAAGCTTGTTCACCCGGAATGTCTCGAAAACCCCAAATCAGGACTTTTTTCGACTCTAAACCCGATCCGAAGAAAACTTTTTGGGAAATTCAACCCGAGTTTTTATTAATTAGAAACATCCCAGTTATTCATAATGTTATGTCCGAGGGTTGTCCGATGTTGACGTGCACAAGAATAAAAGTTTATCCGTAGTAGAAGTGTAACAATGTAGGCTAAGGGATTAAGGCTAGAACAGACGAAGGGAATCAGGGACTAGCCAGGCTAGTATGATCCAACTAGACTGACGCTTTCACTTGCTTTTTACTATAGCTACACCACTACACAACGCAACAATATAAATCTGACCATTTTGAGCCCTATCTTCAAAACAAAAAACTTGGCAGCCTAACCTCCACAATTTCATCCTCACAAATTAATCACTTTTTTCTTAGAAAGCTGTCTACTTCCTTCCCGTCTAAACGCAATATTTTTGCGCCTTTCAGTAAACACAAACGGAGTTTTTGAATACTACGAAAGAATGCCTCACGGACACAAAGTGCGTATTCAATGCCTTCGCGGATTTACTATTGTCGGGGAGGAATTGAGCGAGTGTTTTAGAGGAAGATTGCTTCAGCAATTGGGGCAGTGTGTTCCAAGTTTCTTCAGATTCCCTTTAAATTCCTTTAAAATTTTTCTAAAAAGAACCCTGCTCCTTAAACTCAACATCATTACAACACGGAGACACAGCAAAGTTGATATGCCCAAAACAACTCCCAGAAAAAATAAAATGCCAATTTGGGCAAATATTTAAGGATTCGAATAATTTAGAAATATTTTTGACCAAAAATTGTTTTGTGGTGGAAAATTTTGGTGGGAAAGTTGAGTGACTTTGGTGGAATAAATTAATTTTTAGTCTCCCCCTTAAATTCCAATTCTTGCCCAGCCCCATATCACGGAACTACTTTAGCCTCTATACAATTAGCAAACGAAAGTCTTGAACATTTTCTGCCCTCGTATCCGGAAGGGACGATTATTCGATATTTGTGTGAAGTGAACAAATCGTTGATGGAATATAATGAAGCGGCAGCTATACAGGCAAAGTTTATATGTTAGACCTAAAAATAGTACTATTTAATTTACCGTAAATACTCTAATAGAAGCTCACCTCTTGTAGAAGCCCATCTCTAATATAAGCCCATCTGAGGAGACATGTTGAAAAATATAAGCCCAGGGCTTCTATTAAAGTAGGTAAGTTAAACTGAGTTTATCCATTGTTGGAGGGATTTGTTATGTCCTAGGCTGTGTTCCGACCTATGACTAGAAGATAGCAAAGAATAGAATATAATGCTTATCATAAGTGTAAATACAGGGGATAACAAAGTGGAAGTAGGCAAGAATAATGATGGGCGGAGTTGACGGTCTCACCCCTCCACAGATACTGCATTCTGTTCACAGAACGCAGAATCGTGGAAGTGCTGGTTCTGTGCAAAGAATTCTATCCGCAGAATCTGTGGAGAGGAGAAATAGGTCCCAGGTGTGGACCAATACTGCTCGCCAACGACTCATATTAGACCCAGATATTATAACCAGCCCAACTTTTGATAAACCGATCATGATAAAAGTAAATCTATTTTTGGGTGTATCCTATAATTAGGTTAAAAGTTCATTTTTAGTGCATAAATGGTGAATGGACGGCTCTTCTATTACCTTGTGTAGAAGAACATGAACGTTCAAAAATTGAGAATAAATCATTAAAAGGGAATAAAAATATGGATGAATGTTTTGCTTTAAACCTTCCAAAAGGAAAGGAATTGCATTTTAATTTTAATTATTCTCTTGCGAGAAATGATCAACAATTAAAACAATTTGGGAATATTTTGAATAAGTCTGGTATTAGATTCCCGGCCAGTACTTCTCTTCTGGTTTGTAAATTAATTGGATACATCCTCGATTTTACGTACACCCTTGGGGTTGAAATAGAGCTCCATTTTATGGAAGAGGTTTCGTGTTTAACAGACCCGACTTCCAGTTAACGGGAGACTCAGGTTCGATACCTGCACCAGGGCTGTGTGTCATGGCGTTTTGCGTTTGGCGTCCATTTTTGGCCGATTTTTGGCGTTTGGCGTGATTTTCGTTTTTTGGCGCGACACGCGAAAATTTTGGCATTGTTGGTGGTCTGCTTTAGTGCAGTTCTTGTTAGCACTTAAACAAAGGGCACGCCCTGAGTGAAGAGACAATCGTTGCTGACTTAATTCCATCAAAAAATTGTACCCAAATATTGAGGGTGGGCGTAAAATAGAGAGGCCAGACTAATAGAAATATTTTAATTTTTAAAGGTAAAATGTACAAACCCTCTCAATCAACTACGTTTAGACCATTTTGAATTGTGGAAGTGTAAACAAGGCAAATGGCAAGTCTACAATCGAATTGAATGCCCCAATGGTCTATTGAAAATCCCAAAATTTACCCCTATAATTTTCAGTTAACCTATCAACTAATTGCCAATTCAAATTTACCCCTCCACGAGGCTCTCTGAATTTCCCTCGAGACGTTGCGCGATTAAATGTTTTTCACGAACAGAGTCGCCAATTTGTTCTTTTCAATCAGAATTTCCCTAATGGTTCTAAGCTCCTTTTTTCTTGTGCAAATTATTCAATGGATTTATTGAGAGGACCTAGCTTTGTAAAGACTATTTTTTAAGTTAAAATTTGAAGTTGTTATTTAGAGTGTTTGCCGTAATGGGGAATGGCTTCCTCCACCTCCTTATTGTCAAAGATTAGACAGAACTAAGGCTAATGACCAACAGCCGCCGCCAATCGAATTTCAGGTTAACGCTTGGATTGGTCTTAAAATAAAGATGGACCTCATTATAAGATACATCCTATACTAAATACGCTCGATACTGGAGACATTAATGTTAGATAAAAGCAGAGACCGGACCGAGACGAGATCTCGCTCGGAAATCTCGGTTATCGAGTTCGAGAATTTTTCTAGACCTCGATCCTCGTACGACACTCCAGCCCAGTCTCAGATAAATGTATGTTGATCATTGAGTTGGTTGTTGTCCCAACAATTCTCTCCAACAGCCCCATCAACTTTATTCCTTTGATAAACTTCTGTTTGTGTCCTTGTCTGCTTCAATAAATTTAGACAAAACATTGGTGGATCTAGACATAACCCTTATTCAAGATAATACATTAAAAGCAGAGGTGGGTCGGAATTCCGATTTCGGCTCTTCTTATTTCCGACACCTCTGACTGTTCCAACCCACCTCTGATTATAAGGCACAATTTATCTGCCCTACGGGTGTATCTATCAGGGGTGGGTTTAATCTCGTATCTCGTGACTCGTATTTTGTGGGACTAGGCACATCCCTGGTATCTATGTATAAATGAGGTCTGTCTCTATTTTAAAGACAGAATCCACTTTTAAGGTTTCTGGCCAATGGAGTATTTCACCAACCGGTGTTCTTCTAGTCAGTCGGTATTATAGACTTCTATTTAATTTCTTTATAAACAAGCTCTTCTACGGTCCAACTTTTCTGTTTTTATCAAATGGACAGTGGAAAGCCACGATGGGAAAGTTTCTCAAGTTATCGAAGTTATCCCCAAGTATATATAGATATTCAAAATTAACATGTGTTTGTTCTTTAGGAATGGATTAAAGAAGTGAATCAGCAAAGATTTGTAAACTTCAGCGTCCTCCAAGTACATTTTTAGTATATATTGAGTTCAACATTTTCAAATTGCCGGGTCGTCCGGGGTTTTCTTTTAATCAGACACGGACCGGATTTTCCAGGCCAAGATTTCGAAACCCCGGAAAAACCGGATTATCAATATGGGATTAATTCAAAAGGTCGAACCCCAGAAGGTCAACACCCTAGTGGTCAACTGACCCAGAAGATCAACTCCAAATATTTGGGCAGATAAAGATGGATTAGTGCAGATTATGATGGATTTGGTGGGATTAAGGAGTCCCAAATATCCGCCCAAATATCTGAAGTTGACCTCCAGAGTCAGCTGACCACTGGGGTGTTGACCTTCTGAGTTTCGACCTTCTTGGGTGGACCTATCAAAATATCAGCTTTCCTGGCTATTTGGTCCCGGCCCAGTGTCGAACTCTAGTAATCATAAAGGCTTATCTAATTTATATTTTAGTTGTCTATTTTAATTGCACAACCTGAAGATAGTGGTCCATTTCATTGTATTCTACCAAATAATAGACGTAATAGTTTACACCTCCAAATTAGAGGTGTGTCCATTCAAAGTTTCAATAAATCTTTTAAAATTCCTCAGATGAGTATTGTCAACCCATAGCCAATAGTTCCCCAACCTTAAATATTCATTACTCGTCAACTGCTGGCCCTCATCTCACAAACAAATCGCATCTATTTTTGGGCACAGTTGCACAGTTTTCTTGCTCTTCGGGATATCAAATTCTCAATCAACGCCCTCTGGTTGGATAAAGACACCTTACTTGGGAATACATCCTTAGGGTTAAGAATTGATGTAAAATATCCATTAGGAACCAAGACCGAAAATTTTCCAAGACCAAGACTGCACCCCAGGATTCGAGACCAAAACCGGAAAAACCTTATGACCTTAAAAACCTTAGTATTGGCAGCTCTAGTACTCATTAGAGATCGGTCTGAATCTGGATCTAGTCTGGATTTTTCCTGGATCTAGAATCCAGATCCAGGATTTTTTGAAAATACCGATCTCCAGTATCCATTACTGGAGGTATTACTTAATTTTTTCCTCACATCCCTTGACCAACCCAATTATACATAGAGTCCTAAAATGTATTAGGTATATTTACACGTGGGATCCGAGAACATTTTGAAAATAAATTTTAATTTAAGATTTGTTTGGAAGGCGGCCATTGGTCTCAGCTAGCTCCAACATGCACTCGTTAGTTCCTTTCCAAATAATTATCTAGAACAGGAAAGATGCATTCCTTCTTTTAAGACATTCAATGCCCTCCGATTATTCTCCACCATCCTCAATTACATTGTCAAGTAAGCAGTTATAGACCTGGGGGATCAGCACATTGTAGTTGTAATCCGACACATGAATTAATTGGAAGGGCTACCTTTAAATGCGGTTTAGACGGCCTTTGGGAGGAAGAGTTGCCTAAATGTAGAGGTATAATTGCTGTAGGGAGACAATTACCTTATTATTCAAAGAAATTAAATGTTCAATGCCTTCATTACCTCCACCTATTTTTGTTAAAACCCACGTTCCATCGTTCTCATCGACTTCTGAGATGAATCCTATCACGTTTAGTGTTGGGCATTTATTGTTGCTTCAATGTCCACAGTCTTATTTGTTAACTGGTTCGTTAATATTTTAATTGACACTGGTAAGGGAGAGGGGAGACTAATTGGTTAGTATTTAAAGAATCTGCTAGGCGAGGTTTAAGATCTATTAAAAGAGAAGGTAAGAGCATCATTGTGGTGGCTCCGTCGGTAGAGCAGCGCCTTACTTGAGGAGCGAAAGCGCCTAGCAATAACTGCTAAGAGGCGATGGAGGCCTGTTCCTGGACTCTGGGTTTGATTTATTGACTGGGCCGGATCCTGGGCCTGAAGTCCAGGAAAACCCCAGGAATGTAAAAAATGCCTGGGCCTGGACTCTGGGTACAGGAAAACCCCAGGCCTTTGTCCAAACCCAGTTCGATCTCTAATGCCTACTCGATACTATGTATACAGCGCCTAGCAATCTCTATGTAAAAATTAAGGGTCTGATTTTTTACTCTGTCAACCAGATGGATATTGGAGTGAATTGAGGTATTCTAATTCTTCCTGACTTTTAATATCCCCAAATTAACTTAGAACACGATGCGAGCAAATTTGTCGTTTCCCTGGACAAATTAAACACGGAAATACAATCCACCCTCCAAAGGATCATTATTTGGTGAGGCTTAAATGAATTTAAATAAAAATTGAAAATAAAAAGGTTGGCGAACGGATATTTTATTATTGCGATAAAGGATATAATCTCAACAATGAAAACATTCTTGAATGCAGAAATGAAAGTATTTGGTCAAAATCAAAACCTTTTTGTAAAAAAGATTAAATATTTATTGATTAAATTCTTTTATTTTTTTAATAATTTGTGTACTTATTAGAGATCGGAATTTTTGAAAAGCCTGGACCTGTTCCTGGGTTTGATTTATTGACCTGGGCTGGTGGATCCTGAGCCTGTAGTCCAGGAGTAACCCTGGAAGGTCGGAAAATGCCTGGGCCTGGACTCTGAGTACAGGAAAACCCCAGGCCTTGGTCCAGACCCAGACCGATCTCTAGTACTCATCATTCGACAATTTTTAAGAGTAAAGGGCCAAGTTGATAGGTTTATGGGATGTTGCCGGGTTTTTTAATTGTCGGTTTGGTAAAATTCCGTAATACATCTCGGGAAATGATTCATACAAACGATAAGTTATTCAAAAGAGCTTAAATTTAAAAGCCTAATCGGGTCCTAGAAAAGTTCAAAAATATAAATAAAATACTCAAAAACCCTCTCAATTTTACCACCTCAAAGAAAAACAAAAAAAAATTAAATTTAAACAACCAAAAATTAATTTATCCAGTAGCCTCTTCTTCCCTCTTCTTGTACAATGCCGCTCTAGGATTATATCTTTTAATATAAAACCAACTTCCAGGCTGCATTTTGTATTCAAGTCGAAACATTGCAGAATCATCATCCCAATGTCTATTAAAACGTTTATAGCCAGAACGGTCAAATTCGGGAATTGTTCGGTCAGGGAACAGTCCAGACCAATGCGCTTCCATTACACAACGTTCTAAGCGTTGTTGTTGTTCAGAACATAAACCTGAATAGAAAAAATATTTTTAAAAGGAAATTTTATGAAAAATGTTGGGGATAATCAAGAGAAAATAAAAGTTTTAAAATTTGCAGACAAAAGGTTAAAGTTGCGGACAATTTTTAAAATTGAGGGAAAATTGCGGTTAATTATCTCTATAATATTTAAAAACGATCACAAAATTTTTGGAATGTCTCAAGTAATTAAACTTAGTTTTTTAAAAAAAAATGAAGGAGATTAGCAAAATTGGGCAAAATCGATTTTGCCGGACCCGGATCCGGATTTGAAACTTGAGCCGGACCGGATCCAGCCGGATTTTTCCGGATAAATCCGGTCCGGTTTTAATCCGGAAATTTCAAAAAAAACCCGGATTTGGGACCCGGACTCCGGAAAAATCCGGCCGGATCCGGTCCGGCGCCGGGCACTAGACAAAATTTAACTGATATATGAAAGTTTCTAACCCTTAAAATTTGCTGTTTACATAAAAATGGGAAGAAGATGAAAAGCTCGCGACTGGAATATTTTGTGTCCCAGAACTATAGGCAACTTTTATATGAGCATAACATTAGAAAAGTTGTAACCTAAATTTTCTATTTCTTATTTCTAAACTCGTTTTTAATGAGAAAACTCTCAATAAAAATTCAATCAGAAAAAAAAACAATTAAAAAAACTTGCAAACCTGTCAACTCCCTTGGAAGAACAGTCCCATCCAACCTCATAAATTGCTCCAAAATGAGAACATCTTGGTAGGAAATTTTGACAGAAATTTTGCACAAAGGACAATTACACGTCTGAACATCCTAAAATTTGTTTTTAAAAAATTTAAAAATAATTTTACAAAAAATACTGATTGACAAACAGTGGGAAGTTTGGAAGGTCCAAATTTTGAAGATTTTTGTGTTTCAGGCAAAGATTCCAATTCAACTATAGTTAAATCACCTTCAACCGATTCTTTTACTAAAAAAAGGGAAAATATTATATTTTTAAAAAGTTTTTAAATTTGAATTAAAGAGTAATTCAAAACGAATTTTCGAAGCAGAAAATATTTTTACAGAGGAATTTCTGTACTTGTGAATTATCTCATACCAGTTGCGGACAAATTTTGCGGACACATTTATAATGGTTTTCTTTCTTCCTCGATTTTACTCAATAGTCCTTGTGGTTAATGTCTTCCATTAAATGAAGCTACAAGAAAAATTGAGTGAAATCGAGGAAGAAAAAAATTCTATACATAAATGTGTCCGCAAAATTTGTCCGCAAGAACTGATATGAGATAATCTACAAGTATCGGAATTTCCCTCAAATATTAAAATTGGAGAATGAATTACTAGAAATTCCAAAAGGGTATAAAAAAGGGATTATAAAAATGCCCAGGCAAATTTTTATACAAAGCATCAGCAAAAATCTATAGAAACTCTGCGGATAATCCCTAAGGCGAAAAACCCATTTTCCAAATTTAAAATTTCCTAAAAATTAACCACAAGAATTTTTTAATTTTTTAAATGAAAAAAACAAACTTCTTTTTACCAAAAGTTGACTTGTCCTTGAAAAAAAGCGTAAAGCAACAAGGGGATTACTCGTCTTTAACAATAACATCCTTAAAACACAAGGAAAAAATTAACATATTAAAATTAAATAAATACAGGACTATATCTAGTCAATTCAATAAAAAAAATAAAAAAATTAAATTAAAACATTTTTACAAATTGAAAGCCAAAAAAAATTTTTTTTAATAAATTAATTAATGAATCATTGGATATCTCAAACTTGGATTTTCTTTCTTAATCATCTTTTCAGTTGTGGTGGTCTGGACCTGGACTCCACTAAATTTAGAAAAAAATATTGAATATTTGGGTAAGGGATAACTCACCTTCTGACCAAATACCGTCCGGACGCTAGAGTAAAAAACACCGTCCACTTTTACTGATAACAAATTCGATTTATGTCGATATTATGTATATCTTTGGATACCTTGATTAGTCCTATAACATGTATCCCTGAAAATTTTATTTCAAAAATTTTTGCTCAAAGCAAACTGGACGGTGTTTTATACTCTAGTAGGTGGACGGTATTTGGTCGGACGGTGAGTTGTCCTGACAAGGAATATTTTGAGTAAACAGAAAAACAACCTCAACTCTTGAACTAACTATACTATCAGCAAAAACTGCCTACAAAAACGCGAAAAAAATTAAAAGCCTTTATAAAATAAAAACTAACCGAAAAATAAATTTTTTCCCCATCTCTTTCAGCTACTTTAGGGCGTGCTCTAGTAGGTCTACGTGGTTGTTCTCCACGCTGTATCGCTTCGAGTCTCTCAGCTTCACGTTTCTGTCTATATTCTTCAATTCTACGCCGTCTTTATCTTCATGATAGCGTACAGCGTCATCAACAAAAAAGTCAAAATACGGAGGTTGGTCAGCAGCCGGATCGAAATTTGAGTAAATTAAGAGGAAACGATCAGAAGTAACACCAGAAAATAACTAAAATTTTAAATTTAGAAAATTGGGTACTTTTCCGTTATCCCTACCCCTTTTTGCGCACATTTTTCGCGGACTGCCTTATGTAAAGAATGGGCAGACTTTCACCTTTCCTTAATTTCACTCAATTTTTCTGTGGCATGTTCACTATTAGAACCATTCTTTTGTCTGACCATTCTCTACATAAAGTAGTCCGCAAAAAAAGTCCGCAAAAAGGAGTAGGGATAACGGAAAAGTACCGAAAATTATTTAAATTTTTAAAGTTTTACAATGTGAAGAGTTGATTTCTTGAAATCTGAACTGTTTGTAAGTTCACTCTAATTACCCTCGGTTCTAAGCCTTGGTCAAATGAAGATTAAATATATTTTTATTCAAGGGGTTATAATATTATAAATTAAAGAGTTAAAAGTTAAAAGGTAAAGTTCAATATAAGACGAAATAGGTGAAAATGTGGCGGATATATATAGTGGAAATTTAGGCAAACAAATATTGTTATTGGGATGGACAGGTCGAGAAATGGGTTAATAAATATTAATACAAAATGTGAATATTAAGAGATAAAGATTGGTCGGTAATAAATATTAGATTGGGAAAGTCGGGAATCTCTTTAATTGAGATGGCAGGTCAATTCTTATCATTATTTATATTTTTGAGAAAAGCTATTTTTTAATTTGTTTATTTGTTTATGCGAATGCAGCATTCCTTCCCCCTTAATTAAGATGACGTCCACGTCATGCTTATTAAATTAAACGGAGGAGATTATATTTTATCTATTTTTTAATTTGTTTATTTGCTACAAATTGCATTCTTTAAAACAAAAAATTTTATTTTAGAAGCCATTTTAAGGTTCTACTTTAGCTTCTTTAAATCGAGGGATTTTTTTTAAGTTCTCCTCTTGTATTTTTTTTTTAATTTATTTTTATACTTCTCCAATTATGGGATTGAATTTTTTTTTGACATACTTTTCTCCGACAAGAATTTTAAAGGGGTATAGAAAAATTTTTAAATTTGATTACAGACTGAAAAAAAATTATAGGTGAAATTATTTAAGGGGATTTAAGTGATTATTTTATAAGGAAATTGGGGTAGGGAAAATTTTAGTTGTTTTTTTTTATGTTCATCTTTAAATTAAGGATGGACACGATTTCTTATCTTTTTACACTGCGGCATTTGTCCATTCACTTTCTGGTTTCCTTCCTTGTTTGTTTTTGCTCGTCCTGTCTGTTGTTTTGACATTGGGAGTCTTATCTTTTGATGATCGATGTAGTCTTTTTTCGAAGGTCCTGCTGTCTTTGCCGATTCTCCCATTTTAAAATTAGGGGGTCTTATCTCATATTTGTCCTCAACCCACTTTTTTCTTGCTTTTTTATATAATTGGGTATTTTCCTGATAAGTTTGTTTTGGACTTGGTTTTGTTAAGTTAGTATGTGTGCTCAAGTCATTTTTTATTTGGGAAATATTTTTAATATCGCGAATATTTTTAAATTTATTATTTTCTATTAATTTTAATTGTATTTTCTCCATTTCCTTTATTTGACAATTTTTAATTAACGATTTCGCGATTAATTTACCTGTTTGTAAATCTAGGAATAATGGAAGGCTTTTCAGGGTTTCTCTTCCAATAATTACATCATATTTTCCTGTTTTACTAATTTCATTTTCTAATATTACAATCTGCGTTAAAATTTCACAACCTGCTATTTGAAAAATTATTTCTCCTTGGCCAAGCGTGGGTACAATTTTATTTCCTATACCAACTATGGCGCTTAAATCAGCGGGAAAGATTTCCTTTATTTTTAATTTTTCTGCGGTTTCTCTTCCAGTCAGGGATACGTGTGCTCCTGAATCTAATAGGCAAATTATTTCTTTTCCATTTATTTTTGTTTTTATTCTAAACCATTCATCGCATGTATTGTCATAACCAGGTGCGATTTCTGCAACATTAATTTCTTTCTCTGGCTCAGACTTTTTATTTTTTCGCAGGTTTTTAATTATTTTAAATAAAATTGGTTTTATGAAAAACATTAGTAAAAATAGTACAGTACTAACACCTAGAAGAGCTAGAAATATCAAAATCTGATTTAATGTAAGCAATCTCATATAATTTGTGCTTAATATGCTCTCTTTAGGTAATTCTGTTATTTCCCAATTGTTGTTTATTGTTTTCTCTTTAAAGGTAAAGGGTGAGTATGCGGGACAATTCATTTCAATTTGTGCTCCATAGCTAGCCAAAGTGGGACTTATAATAGCAATAAGTGCAAAAATTGTTAGCAAATAAGGGCTAGATATTCTTAATGGACTTGCAACTCGGCTTTCGCTGAATCTCACTCTTCTAGTGGGCGAGCGGCTATAATTATTTGGTGAACTTTCTCTAGAATTTTCGCGATTTCTATCATTATATCTGCTGTTATCTCTATTATATTCATTTCTATAATTTTGTCTATTTTCCCAATAATTATTTTGATAATTTCTTCGCTCATAATTATTATATTGGCGGGATTTATAATTTTTTCTTGATCTATTTCGGCAATCCGCTATTACATGTCCAGGTTTATGGCAGTAATAGCATAAGCGTCTTATTTCTCTAGACCGATTAATTGCTAGGGCTTCCACTTTTTCTGCTAAATCTACATATTGATGTTTTTGGCGTTTTTCGTTCAATAGTAATTCGAAATGTTCGGCAACTTCGAATGCCTTTGAATAGTCATCAGGTCTAGCAGCTTTAACTTCGAATTGAAGGTCTGGCATAAGCCGATCCAAAAATTCATCTAGCAATCGCTGTTGTATCGTATTTTCTTCATATCCAATCATTACAGCACGTACTGCGTCATTTAAACGCTGCGCAAATTCAAAAACTCTTTCGCCAGGTGCTTGTTTAATAATAGATAAGGCTTGGCGAGCTACTGTACGAGAATGTCCATTTACGAATTTTTCTTGCAAGAAATCTATAGCTTCTTGCAGAGTAGCTGGTTGTGGGAATTTAGCATCAAGTTCAGCACGAGCGCGACCTCCCAGGCACACTTTTAGACGACTAAGCTTTTGTGCTTCATTTAGAGGGGTAATTATTAAATTTAGAGCATCCATAAATCGCTGGAAAAATTTAGAAAATGAGCTAGTCGGGTTTCCGTCATAGACTCCGACAGGGGTCATTAGACCATTTAAGAATGGGTCTCCGATCATAATCTCAACATTTTCTCCAGTAATGGGTTTCTCAGCAGCTTCCGACGCTTTTTCAGGAGGTTTAGTCTTGAGATTTAGGTCAACTGATTCTTCACTTCCATGACCATTCCAAGAAAATCCGGATCCTCTCGATCCATTTTCTAAGACTTCTACTTTTGCCTCAAGACTTTCAATTTTATCAATTAATTTACGCGCATTTTTAGCAATAATTTCTGCTATTTTTTGCTCATTTTTAGTTAAATTATTCTCAACGTTTTCCATCCCTTCCTCTAGGATGTTTAGGCGTTGGATTTGTAAAATTTGTTCTTTTTCTATTTCCATATTTTTAGAGCGTAAAAAGACTAATTCATCCTTTAATTCTCTATCATCCATTTTATTTTCAATTTCTTTCATTTTTGTTTTGTTTAAATCATTATCAACTCCTAAATTTGATATTTCTTCTTTTACAATTTGTTTCAAATTTTTAAATTGATTTTCTAATTTTTCAAATTTTCCATCTATTAAAGCATTTATTTTGTCGATTTCAGATGAGGACGAATTTGATGGCAAATTTTGTCCTTCAGTAATTTTCGACTCGATTTTACGGAAATTTTTGCATACAGCCTCTTCAAAGCTCCGTAATCGAAATAATAAGTTATTCCAATGACGACCTTCTTCAGGCGTAAAAAATTTATTCGCAAAATCTGATCCAGTTGTGTGTCTGATTTTTATCCATTTCTAAGATACTCCAGAAAATGTTTTCAGGGGCAGGAAATCCTTTATAGAGCTTTTCTGAGAATGGAAAATCCAGTTCCTCTCTTTTTTTTTAAACTGAGGATTGCACCCAGCAATTTCCTCTACTTTAACCGTTGCACCAAGCAGGAGGATAGAGCACCAAGCAGTCTACCTCGTTTTTTTAAATTAATTAATTACGTGGGGTATCTTCCTCCCACAATTTCTCTCAACACTCTTTAAAACAAG